CAAGTTTAACGAGAAGCTCGACCAGATCCTTGAATTTATAGAATCCAAAGCAGCTCATAAAGAAGAGGCCGCCTATGATAAAAAACTTGATCGGGCCCTCGCTCTTTTGCAATCTCAGGCAGCCCGTAGGAACAATCTTGAGGGTCAGATCGCAAATTTAGTGGAGCGCATTCAAGCTATAGAAGACCGAGTTTTCTTTCCCGAGCCCATCATGCAAGACGGTTTTACATATATGGGTGGACTCCGAGAGGATACTTTGACGAGCGATGAAAAACTCGACCTCATCCTTGTTCGTGTGGCGGCCCAAGCAACTCGACTGGAGGAGATTGAGGGTGGATGTACCCGAATGGTGGACCAGCTCGATGGGATAATGGATCACATTCAATCCGTCAAGCCACGAGTTGATGGGACCTTGAGCACTAACTATCGGATTTACGAGGGTGAGACAGAAGAAGAGGAGGATTTGCTCCCAGCAGATGAGGGTGATATTTTGATGGAGGTAACTTCTGAGCCTGCATTCGAGAGTCCTTCATTTGAGCCGTCATGTCCCATCGAGAAGGACCCAGTGGTCTTGCTATGCTCCACAGATGTTCTTATCCTTCCATTGGTTGACAATGGAGTTTCGGTGAAGAGAGCTCTAGGCCACTTTGTTACCCCACCTTGCTCCCATGCCCAGTTCCAGAAGAATATTGCTACCCGAGCCACCCTTGCCTGCCTTCTGGCCATAGTGCCAGCACTGCCACTTCTTGAGAATACAAAGGTGTGGCACGATCGTCACTTCTTTCTAGACCCCGGATGAGTTCCCCACAGGTTTCGTCAAGCTAATGACGTTAAACAAGCGCTTCTTGGGAGGCAACCCAAGGGATTTACTGCTTTATTAGATACTTTTCTTTTCGCTTTTTAGTTTTATCTTGGAATAATGGGAGTTTGGAGTTTCGTGATTTTCTTATTGACAGGTATGAGTTCGCGAGGCTGATTATAGGGGTGCTACTTGCACATGCATGCTATTTCTCCTCGAGGCACTTCGGTTTGCACACCATTTTCTTATTTTCTTTTTTTTTTTGAGTTGTTTCTTTCTTTTGTCTTTTCTTTTGAGTTTGTGTCTTGTGTTAGCTACTAGTTTGGTTCATTATATGAAAATGCTAGGTCCTGTTATGTGACTTCTGGTTTTGTGTTGAAGCAATGAGGTCATTGCCTCATTCTAAGTGTGGGGGAGTCTATTTAGATTTTGCATGCTTATGTGGTGGACCGGTCTAGTTTTAGGATTT